ATAACAGTTGTATGAGCCCCTAATAAAATGTTTTTAAAAAATTTACTAAAAACACAATAAAATATTATTTTAAGAAGGTCTTTGCATTTAAGATATTAAAGTATAATGTCTATATTTTAACACTGATATGACAAGATGAATGCTTTATCATATTTATGTTAGACTTTGTTCACACCAGTCAAATAATTTAGGTGTTATCCAAGTGAAGGGATTTCTGTCCAAAGGTGTATTTGCTAAAAGATTCTGTAATAGACAATTCAGATCTATGAATATTATTGACATTTACAAACTAATATTCCTGTTGTTGTTGTTAGGTGCTATTGAATAGGTTCCAATTCGTAGTGACCCTATGCTCAACAAAATTATACACTGCCCAGAGGGTGCCTACACCATCCTCACAATCATTGCTGTTTGAACCTGTTGTTGCAGCCACTTGTTGAGAATCTCTCTTTTTTGTTGAGACTCATCTTGTTGAGAATCTCTCTTTTTTGCTGACTTCCTACTTTACCAAATATGTTTTCCTTCTCCAGGGAGTGATTCCTCTTGATGATATGTCCCAAGTACACGAGACAGTCTCACCATCCTCTTCTCTAAAGAGTATTCTAGCTGTACATCTGTGACAGATTTGTTTTTTCTTCTGGCAATCCACAGGACTTTTAATACTCTTCACCAACACCGTCATTCAAATGCATCAACCCTTCTCTGATCTTCTATCTGTCCAGCTTTCAAAAAATGCGGATGAGGCCATTGAAAATATCACAGCTTAGACCAGGCACACCTTAATCTTTAAAGTGACATCCTTGCTCTTTAACATTTCAAAGAGGTCATTGAAGTCAAATTCTTTGCAGATTTTCCGAGTGCAGTAAGTCATTTGATTTCTTGACTGCTGCTCCCACGGGTGTTAATTGTGGATTCAAGTGGAAGAAAATCCTTGACTCCTTCAATCTTTTCTGCTTATTGTTCCAGTTGTAAGGATGTCAGTTTTCTCTATGTTGAGGTGTAACCACCAAACCTATAACAATGCCACAGAGTTCCCCATCCACCTTTCCTCCTGCATAGACACCCCTGGATCTGCAGTAATGGGATGCTTGGGAAAGATATTTCCTATGGCATCTAGCCATTGTCTTGACAAAAGCCCCTTTCCCCTCCCTGGGCATCAAGAACCAGGGCCACATACTCCACCGAAGGTATACTGTGTACACTGTTCTATCCGTTTCACAGCATTCTGGGGTCACACCTCTTTCTGGTGAGTTCCTTCCCCTGTGACAGCATGGTGAGTCTAGACAGGAGTCTTATCCACCTAGACTTCTCTTTCTAGAGCAGTTGGCTAAGGGGGAAGAAGTGTGTCATAAAAGGACTTCGTTATGTCTTCCAACCCATTCTCACAGGTAAGAAATTTCATACTTTTTTCTAAGGGTAAAGTGAAAAAAAAAAAGAATCAACTCCCATGAATTAAAGTTAATTCTAGAGAAAAAAAAATCAATCAAGGCATTTCAATGAACAAGTGAATTTCATAGTCACCACCCCCAGGGTTAATTGGTAATTGACTACAGTAAGTTTTCTTTCAGTAAACTTCAACTCAAAATATGTATTTTCAAGACATTTATTGTTATATTAGCCTGTGATATAAGAAGGTAGAAATGTGTGTCCCTTGGTTCAATAAGGGTTGTTTAGAATTGTTATCCCTTCAATATAAAGGACGTGTAGGAATGAGATTTCCTTCTCATTTGGATCTGGTATGAATTAAAAAGAGGGCCGAGGAGCTGGTAGTAGAGCTTTATAATTCAAAGGTGAAGAATCGTATTTACAGCATCCCTTATTTATTTATTTATTTTGCTTTCTTAGAGCCCTGTTTAATATTCATAGATCTAACTAAAGTACAGCTTAGGTATCTCTCTCTTGTAGGGGGTTATAGATATAGATAAAGAGATAGCTAGAGAGAGAGAGACAGAGAGAGCTCTCATGATAGAATTAATACAGCATCCGTATTTGCCAAAGGATCCAAAGTTTAAATTATAGTTTCAGAATTTAAGTTTTGTGTCCTTTCTGAAAAAGAATCCTCACTGAAGGTTGACTCAAACAGAGCAAGAATGGACTTCCTGAAAACCTTTTTGAAGTTCTCCCCGATAAAGAGGTAGAGTGTGGGAGAAAAGACAGTATTGAAAGAAGTGGTCATCACTGTAAGTATCAGAGCAAACTGAAAGTAGACCGACCGGTCCTGAGTGAGAATTAAGCCCTGGAGTATATGGTAGGGTAACCAACACACAAAAAAAGAGACAATGGCAGTCATCATGACTTTGAAGGGCTTGCTGGATTTCACCAGGCCCTTCTCTTTGAGCTTGAGCGCTACTCTCCAGTAACAAACGGTGATGATGCAGAAAGGTAGAAGGAAGCCCACCAAGAAGCGGCTGGTGAAACAGACAACATGAACCCGTGTCCTCAGTGCCCGCATCTCTTCGCTTTCCCAGTTAGGAGACACAGCGTAGTTATTTCGACAGATCACGGTTCCGTTAGGGGTACTATGTGTCTCTCTGAAAAGCAAAAAGGGAATGCTGAGGAGGGCGGCAAAGATCCAGACTCCCAGGATGATGCTGCTCGCCCTGCGGGGAGTGCGGTGCTGGTGCGACCACACCGGGTGCAGAGTGAGAAGGTAGCGGTCCAGACTGATGGCGGAGAGGAAGAAGACAGAGGTGTACGTTCCCAGAGACAACGTACAATGGAAGACCTTGCACAGTGCCGTCCCGAAGTTCCAGTGGTTGTCCTGAAGGTAGCTGGTGGCCATGAATGGGAAGATCAGCGTTGAAATAAAATAGGAAAGGATGAGGTGAAAGAACAGGAGCGCGTTGACGGTCTTTTTCATTTTGAAGTGCAGCACCCAGAGATAGAGGCCGTTGGTGGTGATGCCGACGATAAATGCCGCGAACAGAGGCATGGCAACCACCAGACTGTTGGCTGCGGCGGGAACCAGGAGCAGGGTGCTGTTTCCTACAGGGGGTGAGGCGTTGCCGGGGTGACGCAGAGAGTCCATCAGCTCCATAGTTTTCGTGTGTGCTGAGACACAGGGAAAAGATCGACAAAGAGAAAAGAGGACAAGGGTTTAATGTAGAGACTAAGACAGTAGGTTTTGCACATATTTTAACAATGCCACACATACTATTTCTACAATAACAAAAGCTAAGTTTGTCATAAAACAAATCGAAAAGCTGTGGGCAACATGGAATGAAAGCGGGAGACTCGGGGAAGAAGAGGGATCAGTGGGTCTTGCAACCAACAACACGAAACAGACTGCGTGTGAATTGTTGAATGGAAAACCGATCTACTCTGTAAACCTTCACCCGACTCAATAAAAAGTTTATATATATTTCCATGAACTTTTTTGAAGCTCCCTTGTATGTATTATCTGCCCCCCCGCCCAAGGTCTATACTTTTATGTTGTCTGACCAATTAAGATCAGATTAATTTGAGCATCAAAACCAGAAATAATACAGAGGAGATGAAATAAAGGGAAAAGAGAAATATGGCTTGGGACATTTTGATAATTACTGACTCATTAATTTAGGTAGCTAAAGCTATTCTATCTAGACATAATTCAGAACTCTGACTCTTCCTGTTAGGGTCAAGTTCTTAACCACAATGCAATACAGAATCAGCTTTACTTGACTAAGACTTGGGGTAAACGTTGCGAATGAAGTTAATTTGAAAACAAAAATAGCAGCAATTGTACATTAGTGATCTTACGGAGTTAGAATTAGATTTCTCATGAGTTAACAAAATAGAGTCAATGCTATAATGTACAATCCTAACACTCGGTATTTCACAATACAACAGTTTGTATTGGGAGTTTGTATTCATCATGGGAGCCCTAGCATTGTACAGGGGATCTCGGGGGGTGGGGGGGGGCGTGTAACGGTTAGTGTTGGGCTGCTAACCACAAGGTTAGTAGTTCGAAACCACCGGTTACTTCTCAGGAGAAAGACGAGGCTTCCTACTTGCCCTATAGGAGCAGTAGGAGTGCGAATAGGCTCAATGGCAGTGAGTTTGGAGTCTTTGGAGAGCACTGCACAATTGCCAAGTGCCTTCAGATTCTTGTACAGAACAGGAAAGACAGGAGTCGTTCTTACCTGGGGAGAAGGGTCTGGGAGAGAGGTTAAACCACTCACATTTACCTGGTATTTGCTATTTGTTTGGAGCTTTATAGCGCGGGAGTCCCGGTGGCAGCACAGTTATGTGTTGGACTGCTAATGGCAAGGTGTGCAGTTCGAAACCACCAGCGGCTCTGCAGGAGGAAGATGGGGCTTTCAGCTGGTGAAAAGGTACCGTCTCGAAAACCTAGGGGGGCAGTTCGACTCGATGGCAGTGCTAGACCTGATGGAAGTGAGTTTGGTTTGGTTTAAGAGCTTTGTATAAAACCGATTTTAAAATGTTTCACAAAACCTATGAGGCAAGTATTTAAACAGGTATTTAAAGGAGAAAGGTGAGCCTTGGAAGAGTTAAATGTCTTACGGATCAACAACCTCCACAATGCTTGTCATGTGGCAGGTGGAGGATCCTGCTATGGAGCCACACTGGTTTTCTGACCATTGATCACTCGTGCGGAGTGTCTCTTAGCCTGCTTCAAGAGTCAGAATATCTGATGATCCAGAACGTCCGACTTCTTGATAATTTTGGGCAATGATTCCTATAGCATTGAAAATACAAACCCAAGAAAATTTACGGGGAGAAGGCTATTGTAAGATATTATTATAACAGTTATCTCAACAAACTGGTTTTTGTTCAGTTGGATAAAGCAATGTAAACTTCTAATGGTGCTGTTTTCCCACATGAAGAACAACCATTCTAGAATATCTGTGATTGTTGTTAGTTACTGTCCAGTGGAGTCCAGCTCATGGACCCTGTTCTGTGTGAGAGAGAGCACAACTGTGCTCCTCCTACGGTGGGATCTTCTGGAAGCAGACGGCCAAGTCTGTCTCCCACTGCACCTTGGGGTGAATTTAAAGTTGTGGAATTCAACTGCTTGGCAAAACCAATACCTAATTTTTTTGTCAAGTTTGGGTGAACCAGTTGTTAAACTGGCACTTGTAATGCGGTGCTCTCTACGGTGAATGTCTGGGTAGCCGCCCAATGTGGTAATCACTAATTTACGTTCTTGTTTGTTTTTTACGTTTACCTGCATAGCAGCATATTCTAAGTACCCACAGTGATATTCATGCCATCCACAGCTATAAAAACTTAGATGACACTATGCTTCTAATACTTATTTATTCATTTTATAAAACTTGTTATACTTTTGATGAAACACTACATTTTTATTCTTTTGCATTTACTTCAGTAAACAAACATATAAAGAGAAAAAATGTCAAACAACCAGATGGCAACACGTTGTCATTTGTTTGAGTTTGGTATTACACCTCAAATTCCAACAAGAATTTATGAGTGAATTTTGTAATTCCTAAAAGTATTCAAAGAGCTAAAAATATTGTAAGAACAATTGCTGTAAGTTCAGCAGAAGGAGGAAGGGGTTTTTCAAAGATGAACATGTATGTTTAGAGAAGAGAAGTTGCCTAACTATTTCGGCTATATCAAACACAATGACTATTGTCCAATTGACCTATCTCTAAAGGTATGGCTCTTTACTCCTACAGTGAAAAGATAGTTAAGGATAAATCATATGTTTGAGGATTCTCAGATTAAATTGAAGAATATTGCAAATGAGGATGCTAATCAAGAAGCAATATGGAAATATTTTAAATGGCAGTCAGTTATATTGTTTGTTTGTTTTTTAAAAATCAGGTGCTTTTGAATACTCTTCATTAATATTTTAAAATTTTTATACCATAATCTAGTTTTGTGTACCTCTTTTATTGTTATTTAAGTATTAACTGTATGGAAAAATAAACTTATTATGAAACAGGGGTGCTCAATACGTCGATCATGATCTACTAGTCGATCGCAAATGTAGTGCGGGTAGATCGCATGGCCTTGAAAAAATAGACATACACTTATAGAGGTCTAAATAAAGGCATG